GATGGCACGTCACGTGATCCCAGGCCCCGCCTTGGATCAGCGACCTTCCATCGCGGCTATCCCGATGGTCTTCCTTCCTGCGGCCTGCATAACAAAAGGAAGCAACTCCTTGTTACCTTGTAACATTCTTCTCGTATAGCTGTCAGTCTTTTATATCTTCGATACTTCTCATATGAGAACATACACTTATCAGTCATCTCCTCTGACAAATAATCTCGAACCTATTGATCAAGATTCAATTCTTTCCATGTTAGCATCCAAATGGCTGAGTCGAAAAAAGTCGTTGGCTGACATGTCCTAGTCTTTTCGTAGATTGTGTTTGCTAGGCTAGGCTAACATTTCGTTGGACAGTGTGACTTAGTGGTCAGAAAAGAATCCATTTGAAGGAATGGAACTAAAGTGCTAGATGACGTTATGAGTCTTTGTGACATACAGTAAGTAGCAGTTGGGGATGGACCACACCTGAGATCATCGTCTAGGCAGCCCAGCACGGCCCGGTATGTTATCACGATTCTTTGTTGCCAGCAGGCCCAATATTTCACTGGAATGCACGAAATCGCCTTCTTCGGGAAAGCGTTTTGACAGGTGAGCGTTCGCTCGAGTTGACGTTCCCTTGTTTGACCTGGAATGGTTGCCTTACCTTTCCCATTATGTATATATTTTCTACACCTACTAGCCCTTGCAAAAATACCCTCCACATCATTGACTGTTACTATAATGTTTTGGTCAGCGTTTCTTGTCTTTTCGGCGTCAGCCGCAGCTTGCCCACCGCCCCTTAACAGCTTCAAGTATCTAGCCAATGACACCCACACAACATCACAGATGATCTCCAGTCTACTCATACCTCGTGATGAATCCTCGTCACTGAATCGTAGATGGACTGAGATCGTGACCATGGTATATTTGGATCCACACCAATATGCGTTGTCTAGCTAACCGTCGTGTCAGACTGGACGGCCTCGAACGACATGGCCCAGCGGCCTTATCACATACTGTTTCGAAGACATGAACGCCCGCGTTCACTTCGCCGACGACATTAATGCAGCTTGGAAACTCTGGACTGACAAGATTGGGAACGCTGGCAGTGAGAGCGGCCACTCACTTGAGTTCCATGAGTACCAAGTCCAACACGATCAATGGCCCCACTGCTACAACCAACGCAAAAAGGATTCCGATCCTTGGATCTGGAATGATGCTTATCCGCATGATGTTGCCGTTATCCAGGAGTCCACGAGCCTCGATGTCCAGGCTTCTTCGGTCACGGGTTACATCCCAGCGGAATGGAGTGATTCGCCGGGTCGCCATGGTACGCATCTCAGTATCAACTTCAAGAACAAGTACCCGGCGGAGTATTGGCACTCGACTGTTGCCCATGAACTGGGTCATATCTTCGGTTTCTGGCATGAGCATCAGCGTTATGATCGTGATGACTACGTTCACTTTGACTGTTCTAAAGTTCGGGGTTATGCCGCGGCCAAAGCCAAAGTCGACGCAGCGAAGAAGCACCGAATGGAGCAAGTTTGCAACGACTATCGTTTAGCTCTTCTCTACGATTTCACGGCTACCCAGGATTTTGATACAATCGACCATGTTGACCCCGTTCACAAAGATGGAAAAGCCTGGCCCTTGTTCATCAAGCACGATCTGGAGTTTGATGATGAGTCTATCATGTTGTATAGCTCTGCAGAGTTTGCCAACGACGGAGCAGATGTAGACGATGTAATGCAAGTGCCGTTGGCGTTCTGGAAGGACCGCGGTATTGGGTTCGGTCCACCGAGTAGAGTCGAGAAAGACAATCTGGAGATTATTGACGTACGGTGGAAAGTTAGCGACGGGGATTTGGAGGGTGTAAAGCACCTCTATCCTTACCTGGGGAAAGACGAAGATGGCCAGGACTAGATATGGAAAATAAAAGCTGTGGCAGGTCAAAGGTCTAAGCACTGTGATCTTGTATGGCCGGCCAGTTGTCCGTAGATGGCAAATGAGATAAAGCCGGGTGACCGGAAAGAAGTATTATAGATTACAAGTGTATGTAAATGGCGTATTCGTCCGTTCGATCAACGAACAAAGCCACGTTCGTGAGGAGTGAAAGATCTTGAGTGGGGTATATAGCGAACCGAATCAAACCGGCCCAGTACGTCGCCGCGCAAGATCGTTTCGTCGTCCTTAACGCCAGTAAAAAAAAATCCAAATAGCGCGTAATCTTACATATCTTACATATCTTACAACAAAGTCGGGCAAGGGCTCGCAGAAGGATCCAAACGCCTCGCTGAAAAATGATGCCGGTCTCCGTAGTGTTACATATGTTACAGTGGCGTGTTCTCATAAACACGTCTAGGTTGCGTCGGTACGTTGACGCGTCGGATCGTTCGTCAAAAGTTTAGAAAAAACCCTTGGTCTTCCCAGTCTTTGGGCTCATTGGTCCAAAAAGCTTCATATCCGTATTCATCTTCTTAACGAACACCAAATAGGCCTCTAACGCTTCGTCCTGCGTCTTGAATGTCTTGTCGCGGTTCATCCACATCTTCAGATATTTATCCGCGCCAACATCTTTCAGCGCCGCATACCAACCACCAGAGGATCGCTGTCGCAAAGATATTGCCAGGTTCTTTCCCTTGAGACCGGTGACGTTAGATACTTCTCGAAGGCAGGCAGCGCGGAGATCACCGTATTCGTCGTCGTCTTCGAGGGAAGAGGATGACGAGCTTCGCTCCATTTTTGGACGAGACGAGGTGCGGGTATCGAGCTTAGGGCGCGAGGTCTTTTTAGGTTCGGGCGCAGGTTTTGGCTCAACCTTCTTCTTCACAGGCGTAGCAGTCTTAGCTGCGCCCCCAAAGAAAGACCCAGAAGGCTTGGGAGTCGGAGGAGTCTTCGGTCGCGAACTTGACTTCTTGTCAGACTTGGAAGATTTTTCAGCCTTTGCAGCCTTCTCAGCTTTGTCAGACTTCGACGATTTCTCGGTTTTCTCAGATTTTGACGTCTTTTCCGACTTTTCGGCCTTGGAAGGCTTCTCTGACTTTGAAGGTGCAACTGGTTTCGATGCGGTAGCTGTCTTGGACGACGATTTCGATTTCGATGGCGTTGGCGGCGTGGTGGTCGCTGGTGGCGATGTTCTCGTGCTGAGTGAAGCAAAAGGACTCGGCCATGCGCCTATGGCTTTTGGTGTTTCCTCGACCACCGGTGCGGCATCTTTCTTTGACCTTGCGTCGGCTCTGGATGTTTTCGCAGGCGTCTTGGGTTCTGGGGTCGCCTTCGTAGCTGCAGCCGCCTTCAATGGCGCGCCTCTCCTTCCTGTCGCGACCGGAGGTGGTGGTGCGGTATCGGGTATAGCAGCTTCTCCAAACAACTGCCGCGCTCGGTCCTTCACACTGGGAAACATGGTATGAGAAAATCTGGGGTTGTATGACTCGGGCCGAATATACGCTTGCTGGAATACAACGTGCTAAATGCGCGAGTACGATTAAGAGATACTACAAATACAGGAAACACAGCGCGCGTCAACACTATGCGAAATGGAAGAGGTAAACACGATGTGGAAGAGACAGACACATTACTGGGGGCCTCGGATGGATACCGATTATTCTGGTGCCTAGTTGTGCAACCATGACACGCCCCTTCTCGCATCGGCCAGCATGCGAACAGGCGTTCACATCCAAGATGTGCGGAAATGAGCTAGTGGCCGCTTCTAGAACGCCTGAGAGCATATCGGAATGCGGGTGGCAAGCGGGTCCAACAGGCGCAAGTTGTTGTTTTCGTGTGCTCGTGGATTGACTCCACTGGAGACAATCTCTGCAACGCGCATGATATGTGGGGATCCATTGCTTTGAGGACATACACAAACACTTCCAGACAATTGATAGCAGAGTCGTATCATCACAAAAGGACGTACATTACGATGACCGTTGGGGTTATTCGCATTACGAGCCACCGTGGCCCCTTTTCCGGAGCGCCGGGCTGTGCGGGAGATTGGAAACGGGAGGCAGGATGGCGCGGCAAACATCAGCCGGATGAGCACAGTGGCCACAACACAGAGCAAGCGGGTGTTTGTAGAAACTGCTCCATTGTTGTCAGACGTTCCCTGATGGATATGAGATGAGTGACGATAAGGCGAGTTATCTTGGGATGCATGGTGCATGATGCACGTCAGTTCAACGTGCAGCGAAACGGGGATCGGAATGCGGTATAGCGGGCTCCACCTTCCTAGCGTACCCTATTTGCAGCCACACCTCTCATCCCCCGTACTTGTCCGTCACTTACCCAGTCGTTGGCGATCACTAAATATGTTCCGACAACTTACGAATTAGTCTCCTGATATTTAATATTCGGAAATGCTACAGTGTCACGATAGATGAAAAGACCCTCTTCACCACTTTCATCGCTAATTAAGGCCATTTGCGGATCCCCGCACACTCCATGAATCCCAACGGATCTGCTTTTCAGCCGTTATTACAATGTTCACTCAGAATCCTGGGGTCATAATTGCTGGCCAGTGACCTGATCAGCAATTTCAATAGACTAGCCAGTAAATTGTACGTAAGGCTTGAGAGGCTAAACATACGGGCCAACAATCTCCTGTGTTTTGATCCAAACCTTGTCCTGAGCGCTGACCCTTAACTTCCTCAACTTTTCCTCATTCAGCGTCGTCTCACAAGTATGATGCACCAGAAACAGACTCCCTTCCCTCCCTCCCTTTGTGTCTTTCCCCGCAATAACGCCTGCACCTAATGGTATACCTTTCCCTCCAAAAGCCGCACTCGTAATTTGATAGAGGTACCTCTCGGCGGCTTCCTCCTCCCCATACGCCATGAGCCATATAACCGGATCCATGAAAGTCGCGGCCAACCATGAACCCCAGGACCCTTCCTGAAACCCACGGAAGAGATTTCCTGTCCGCACGCCACCTGGATGACAATGCATGAAAACGATGTTTTTGTTCTCTGGCATTTGAGCGATACGTTCCAGTGCGAGCGTGTTCATGTTGCCCATATGTCTTACCGAAGCCATGGCCCCAAATGCACCTGGGGCTTCGAGTAGGAGATCGTCTGCATTGAAGAAGTAGTCACCTTCCATCCCACCTGAGCGTATACTCATCACGCGCGCGCGACCTGAAGAGCGCAATAGAGGAAGGAGATTTTGCGTGAAGCAGATTCGCGAGTAGAACTCCAGTGTGTGGCTTATCTCCAAGCCTTCGGATGTATCTGGAGATATAAGTCTTCGACACATCATTGCTAGGGGTAAAATACGTGGGAGCAACGTACTGCACCTTCCGCTGAAATTCACATACCCCGCGGTCATGAAGAGGAGGTCAATACTGCTCTCGAATTTCTTGATGTAATCGCAAATCCGCTGTACTTCGGACAGCAACGAGATCTGCCCTTCAACCCATATGATGCTCGCATTCGCATTCGCCAGATGTAGTTCCTCGATGAATGGTTTGAATGCTGCCTTACTCTCTTGCCTCCCAATGACATAAGCTTTAAAGTGTGTTCCGAGCCTAGTTATCGCATTGAGCGTAAGTTTTCCTATGCCCGATGTTCCGCCAACGAATACTGCAACACGAGGTGCCGACTTCTCATCGATCTGGGCGTTATTTTCTTTGATGTGGGAAATACGAACCATATTGATATCTGGATTATGTAGATTCGAATTCGTGTCCTGAGGATATACGGTCTTTGTATACCATGTAAGCACTGAGAGTGTCTGCATACGTAGATGCGGAGGCCTGAATACGCCTTGTGGACGAATCCCGGACCACATCCAAAAACAGGCGGGTCGTTATTTCTGTACACATTTTAGGTAACGGGCTGTCACACAGCATGCATGTGGCGCAACCGAGGTTTATATGTCGTTGCTGTTTGCGATTTCCCGTTGGTTGCTCGACAGCTTTCCCTTTTGGATAAGCATAATATGTCCCATTACGTTGTACCTTGATCTTCAGCGACACTGTTATATCCAATAGATGCGCGATATGTAAGCCTACAGTCCAATTGAATAAAAATGATATTCGCTGTCATGTACCTGTACCTAAACGCCTGCGTAGACTCTTGTCTATAAATGCTTATGCTTGCGCACTGACTGGCTTGATGCCCACTTCAGCCATCTTTGTGGCCTCCACTTCCTCTACCGGGCTATCTGCCCTCTCCACAACATCCGTGAGACCAAGGTACTTCAGGTTCGCCGACCAACCTAGGTCCTCACCAAAGTATCCCTTCATGACCTCAACACCGTATTTGATGCCATTCTTTGGGTCATAGGTCAGACATTGCTTGCCAACCGCTAGACCAATGACGGCGTCCCATGCAGGTAGCTCTGTCTTGATATATTGTTCGGATGAGGGAGCAAGTTCGGAGTTGAGTATGTCGGAGTAGATATTCTGTGCAGCGGCTTGGCCCATGACTGTCGCGCTGCCTGCGCGCTTGATGCCTGACCATGCGATTACATCGCCAACGCCGAAGTGAGATGATGAATTCGCGATAGTGTCCTTGAACATTAAAGATTGGTGTACCATAATCTCTTTGTCCTCGTTCAGGCACTCCGTAGGTAGGACATCGGTAGTTGGTGTGCCCTTATTCGTTGAGTCAATGACGAAGTCTGCTGTTATCGTCTCGTTGTTCGCGAGTGTGACGGTGAACTGGCCATTTGGTAGCTCTGTGATGGTTGCCCGGTTACCCAAAGCCAGCTTGACACCCTCTTCTTCGAGCAAGATCTTCGCGCGTTCTTTGACATCTGATGGTAGTGGCTCTGAAGAAAGAACTTCGCTTCGTGAGTGCACTAGTGTGACATCAATCTGTGGGTAGTATTGCTTGATCTCAGCAGCAAATTCGACACCGACAGCACCAGCGCCAATCACTACAACTCTCCTGCCTTCACATTTCGATGGGTCACCGCCGGTGATCTTGGCGATAAAGGCTTTGCTGTCTGTTTGGTACTCTTCAAAGCTTCCAGACTTTGGCACCGCAGGGAAATGTCTCTTCAGGCCGGTGGCCATGACAAGGTAGTCATATGCCTGCTGTTGGGTCTTGCCATTTCGGTCGCACCATTCGGCGACCTTGGCTTCAGGATTGATGTTCTTGACACTGCCGTGCTTGAAGTGCAGATTCGGGTGCTTTAGCTCGTTGAGGTGGCTAAATCTCTTCCACATATGGGTTGTGTACTTCGGTGTGACATGGGCGAGCGGTGCGCCGACCGAGTGGACTGTAAGACACAAGCATTAGTAGAAGCTCTTGTAGCGCGAGGTGATGAGGTGGAGACAGGGAAGATGTTAAGCCTCGGCTAGTGGGGCAGAGTGACGCACAATAACCATCGCGCTCATCGATGACAGTAATTTCAACCCCTCTTCTACTTCGCACACCCTGGAAATCTGGACCTGGGTATACACTCTGTCGGGCCTTTCCTTGGGAATAGTCGAGTAGGTTGATGGCAGCAGAGATACCACCGTATGCGCAGCCGACAATGAGTACGCGATGGGGGTTTGATAGGCTAAGGTTGCCCAGTGTGTCTGTAACGCCTTGAAGCCTCATTGTGAAGATTTGATCTGATAAAGGAGGGGTCGTGGGGGTGTAAGAGAGATGGGTGGGTGGGATGAGAAGAAGATGATCTGATTAGATTGCGGAATCATGTGGCAGAACGCCCACTTCTATATGGCGCCAGCGCACCACACAGACATCACACCGACATCGGAAATCGACTAACAATCAACTTGCCGGTTGCTAGGCTATACACGAGTTCACGAGCGATCCACTATCGTCGCGGACGCGGTGTCTATGGATGCGATTGGCGGGAAACTGTGCATCTTATCAGATCCGAGCATCATCCGGTGCAAATTTTTATCTGATGCCCCACCACGCCTGCACCTTCCCATCCTTCGCGTCCTGCCAAGGTGACCATTCAGGACACAATCGCTCAACGGTATTCCGAAACAGCCTAATATTGGTTACATATGCACCGGAACGCCAAACTGACCTGGTTGACTTTACTCCGACGTCAGGCCTCCCACCAGTGAGCACGCATCCATGGATAAACATTCACCAAAGCTCTCACGTGATACCTAAGTACAATCACGATGGTCTCTAATGACCATAGAAGAGTATGCTCACACAGCGGCTCTAGAGCTGTCGGGCATACTACAACTCTTCATCATTACTTTCGCACGTAACAGCATCAGTGTGAGGTGGTTAAAGGTGAGAAAGTCTATATTCAATCTTCGTCTTCATCGTCAGATCTATTAGCGTCGAATCCAAGTAATTCGTCAATCTCTCTTCCCTCCTCTTCCCCTATGCGCTCGCTAAGCCCGCGCATCTGTCATTCCCCCTTGTATCCATCCACAAGGACGACTGGGCCCTTGTATTGCTTACGTCCTCTAACGAGATAATCGATCAAACTTACAAAGGCCACGCCAACAAACATGACGGAAGCCCAGTTGAAAAACTCCAGGGTTGTAGGTGTGGAATCAGGCCAGAAGCACCAGAAGAAAGCGTGTGTGGAGTACAGGACACCACCGATGTTGACGGGGACGCCCCACTTTCCAAGGGACCAGCGGCAGTTGGGAAGGAGTTCGGGGTGGCGGATACGTCGGTAGAGGACAGCGCCGATAGAGAACATGTAGGTTATCATAAGAGCGACGACATTAAGAGAGATAACTGAAGTGCGTTAGTTATCGTGGAATAATGCGTAGGATCATGGGAAAACATACTAGCGTTGAAAGCGGTATCCGAGCCGATGTTAATGAGCGAAAGCAAAACCGTGATAGCACAGGTAACGGTCACAGCGTTGGCGGGAACCTCCAACTTGGGGTTTACCTTGCTGATCCAGTCGCTGAATGGCAGTCCCCTATCTCTGGCAAATGCCCAGGTCTGACGCGATGTCGACAAGTTGAAGGTCACAGTACCGGCGAAGATGAGGACTGTGGGAATAGCGTTAAGGGCTACCACACCGCCAGAGGATACGGCTTGGGCAAAGACCCACATATGGGGATAGTCGCCCTCAAGCGCAGCTTCGACGTCTGTAACCATGAACATGTAGCTGATGAGGAAGATTATGCCAAGAGAGCCATTCATGAGGTAAGCGCCGATCATTGCGCGCGGGACAGTCTTGCCAGCATCTTTGATCTCCTCGGCCATATGGGCTGCGGAGTCAGAGCCTGCGATCGCTCGTTAGTACAATCTCAGTGAGAGTTCTTGGCAGAGAGATATACTTACAGATACAAGCATAGATGGCAGACACTTGGCCTACCATGAGCGCCAAACCATTCGAGTTCCAGCCTCCTCCGTTGTAAAACTGGGTGAAGGTTGCTTCAGCAGTAGCCCGTGGCGACAAAACCCAGAAGACGATGATGATGGCCAGGAAACCAAATACGTGAACGATCAACATGATGTTCTGGAAGATAGGCATGCCCTTTGCGCCCCAGATATTAAGGACCCATACCAAGAAGGTTACGGCGATAACCATGAGTGTACCCTGCCACTTGGTAGCCACATACTCTGGGTACATTACGGTGGCAGAAGACTGGATCAAGGTGCCGACAAGGAAAGGTCCAGATGCAGTACCGGCCTGCCATGATAATGTTGACATCCAGCCGATGAAGTAGCTGAATGGCTTCTGGACACTGGGAGGTGAGAATTCGGAAACCCAGTGGTATTGTCCACCGGCGGTCGGCGCCATCGACGCCATTTCTGCGAGTGACAGCATGACGGTGCTGAAACCGAACCAGGTCCAGACGAAACTCCAGATAAGACCTGCTGGACCTCCATCTTGGAGACCTTGGTAGGTTGCACTATGGCGTTGTCAGTTCTCGTTACCTGTGAGTCTCATTAGGGTTGCTTACGTCAAAAGAACTTCCCATGTTCCTTGTAGAATAACGGTGAAGGCCAATGCTGACAACGGTCGATAATTTCTTTTCAGCTCTTGCACCTTGCCCATACGCTCCATGTCAGCGTGATCGGCTCTGGTGTAACCCCTGAGAGAATCATGGTACTCTTCGCTCTCGTCTCCGTCGATAGATCTCGTCGCACGCGCTCGCGACTCCAAAGTAGCCTGCTTGTCCATACTCCCAAGCGGTTGGCTCTCGTAAGCGGCCATACCCAAAGCACAACAAAAAGGAAGCGAATATGCAGGAACGCAGCGCCACGGATAAACTTAAAAAGGACCCAAGAAACAGGTAAAGATGGAACAAGCGAAACGCTGCGGTAGAAGTAAAGAAAGGGATTTCCCACGCGGACACGAATGCATGCACATGCTGGGAGATGGACTGGCCCAGCTGGTGCCAAATGCCTTGTCTGCCGCTTCCACGGGTGGGACCACTAATCCCAGACTCCATCGTACTCCCGGCATATTCTTCTCAAGCGGAATCAGGGTTCAATGGGCGCAGGTGTGCTCGGATGCACATGTCAGCCAACGAGATCGTCGCGGTGCTGATGGCGTCCACTCCGGCTGCGTCGTATGGTTGGCGTGGAGTCTGCCCAGGCTCCACTACCCTGCCGCTAGCGCGACACTATGCGGCCCGCTTCCTCTTATGGGGGTTTGGTGCGGCTGGACCCTAGTCTAGAGAGGCAGGAGTCGTGGATTGATTGCATGCAGCCACATCTGCCGCGGCTCATGTAAAAAGCAAAAGGCGCCGAGAT